AGGAGCCTGGTGCGTTCCAGCCTGGGTTCTTCTCCTGCACTCCAGAGCAGTGCTACTGGAGGAGAGTTTATGGTCATTCCATCTTAATTCAATAAAATCGCTAGCCGAGAGCAAGATACTTAAGTCAAATAGGTAGGATGCTCAGTTCTTAGTTATTTTAGCTGCAAGAGATTTACCATGGACTCTTACGTTCCTCAAAGTAATCTTTTACAGGAATGATCGTGCACATGCGGATAGTTTTGCTTCTTGCTGGGTGCGAGTGGCAAAAATAAGGTCAGTTTCGCTTATTTAAATATTTGGTCTTTCTTTGTTCTGGACGTTTATTACGCCTTAGCTAGAATGCGCAATCTTTCGATGACAGTTCCCGTTCTTTCGACTAATTTCTTTTCCAGTTGTTTATATGTGGTAATTTGCTTCGCCTTGGCTGATTTTTCAATTAATTTGTTCAGGCAGAAGATTTTGGGTCCCCCGCTGTTAGGACGTTAAGTTTTGTGAGTATTACTCTCAAGAACTAAGCAACTGCTTGAGTGGCCCCTGAAGGGGTGACTGAGCAGGCGACGAGTATCTTATTAGAGGCGTGTACAGTTCTATGACTGAAGGGTCTGGCATAGTTGTGCGCCGGTGTGTTGAAGTATCTTGGTAACGTTACTGGATTGGGATACCACGGCAGCTGCCTTGATGCCCTCGGTATACATACGCATATTTTCAGACCGTTGAGGAACTAATTGTGTGGCTAGATCTACATCTAATAGCAGAGGAGCTATCACGCAGTGTAAAAACTTTTTATGACGAAACGAAATTGAGCGAGGAAAGCGGCACTTTTATTTGACATACGCATTTGGCACCCAGCATGAGCGTAAGCAACAATTATGGGATGCATCACGACTGGTTGCGCAATCCTCAATCATCTGACGAAAGAAAGCCTAAAATTCCGTATGATTACGAAGTGCCACAGAACACAGCAGCGATGGAATCTCTCCCGAACAAAAAACCCTATATGCCGATAATAGTTGGCCCTGCAGTGCAGAGCTTTCAGCTTTCGATGCGGACTTGTTGAAACCCTTCCTG